GAGTTTGCTATGTGACGCTTTAGGTTTAATAAAAAAGACTACTTTTTTTTTTGGTTTTTCTTCGATCGAATGTTGTTTCATATTTCTTCTTCATTTTGTTCTATTTTCTAATACATAATTGTTCTTTATTTTTAGTTTAAGTTTATATAACACATAACGATACTAACAAAGATACGACACTGATAATTAATCATCGACATATTTCTTTTGTATAAGTCTCATGATTCACAATACATAAAACTATTGAACATTAGAAGTATCTGTTGCCAATAAGGAAACCTGAGTAAATATCTGTGATTCAATCATCGATTACTAATGTACGTTCCGTGTCCGTTACTATTGTATCAATCATACGAGTACGAGTTTGACTCTGAGGTATCAAGTTTAGTATAGTAATTAAATCTAGAACATCCTTTACAAGACGAGTAAATCGAAGTACTGCTTCTCTAAATCCATATAGATATATTAAATATTTCCACATCATTGTTACATATACATTCTGAATAGGAACAAGATTGATTGAGTTTGACATAATTGTAATATCTACTTGATTATCATATTTAATAATTGAGCAACTACTTGAAAAAGCTAATATGAACATAAAGATTTTAATAAGACTTCCATTTGAATCATATTGTGCAATATTTTGACGACATTCTCTCATATATTCACATCCATATAGCTGATTGTAAGAATTGAGAACAGTGATATTATCGAATACATTCAACTCACGACACAAAAAAAATCCATTCATCACGCCAGTCACATATAGGTTATGCTTAATAAGAACTTGACGATCATCAACCGTTAAAGAATGAAAATTTGGTGAACGTTCGATAAGTGGTCCAATACTACTGTAAAGCTCGCGCATAAGATTCACGATTTCCGATGGTTTTGATCGTAACTTCGGTGGTAATGAAGATAACTCCTTAAGAGAACATTGAATTCGTGTGTAACAGTTTTGCTCATCAAATGCATGAAGAAAATTTGAGAGAAGAGTCCATTCATTAGTTGTCAACGTTGAACGATCATTTTGAAGAAGACCAAGTGGTAAAGGCTATATGAAGAACAAACAAACTTATCATTCTCAAAGAGTATTTAAGAAATAATATTACTCTTGATAACTGAATCTGTTTGTCTTCTATCGTAGGTGCTCGTTTTTTTTTCTTAGAAACAGTGTTGAAATTAGGATAATACCAAATCAGTGACGGATCCATTCCTAATGCGAAGCATTTCTTTAAACGACAAGGTGAACAGTAGCTGCGTGTTCTTTTTGTTATACTGCAATCACTTTCAAATTGGCAAAGTGATGTGAGCTATTGAATTTGTTAAGAAAACCTTGCATATTTCTTTTTATCGATATAGATAAAACTTACCGATTTTTTATGTGCATTTCTGCGAAAAAATGATTTACAAGACATACACGAAATAACACTGAAATTTTGACCACGTGCAATATCACCACATATTCGACATTCCTGAGGTGATATTGGTGTAGTATTCACTACTCTTTCTCTTCTTTTCATCATTAAGGAAAGAAAGTCTGAAAAAATGTTGAGCTATTGAACCTTCAGGTGTTTTTTATGAAATAAATGTCACTCAAAGTATATATGTTGACGTGCATGCTTAATTTATATTATAAGAGAAGAGAAAAAGGCATAATATTAATTGGCTGACTACTTTGTCCAATCAAATGTATAGGCACGCTCAACGACAAATATTCTTCGATAGGTTCTAGATTACAAATCTATCCTATACTAGTTTAGCAAGATAATCACTCCAAATAGCAGCTAACTACCTCATATTAAGAAAAGTATGAATACGTTGCTTATGAAATAAAAATATCGAACATGATAAAAGTACGTTCTTTATAAATACAGACAAGGGTGGAATATGTCTTTCCGTTTCACAGTTATTATTGTCAGTGTATGTATGTCTGTGATCAAACAGGAAAATCTTACATCTAATATGCTATGATAGAGGTAGAATAATGGTGAATGAAATTCATTAAATACAACCGTGTAGTAATGATGCAATATGCCAGTATTTTTATCGCACTAATGAGCACGTTCTGAAGAGTTTTTATTATTATTAAATATGAACTTCGTTTTTTTCTTTCGTTCTATATATAGATATATTAATCATCAACTAATAAGCAAAATGACATGAGCCGAAATTAGTGATAGTCGGGAAATATTCCTAATTTTCAATGAGTGCACAGCAATGGTCCCAAATGTTAATCTCTAGATTTCATCAATGAGCACATGTTGAACGATAACCTCTCGAAATGTTAATAGGAAATTTTCTCCTTTTAAACTGTACATGATTAGTTTTTTTGTATACTTTTATAAACAAAATAATATAGGGAGAGATCAACATTCGTACAATAAACTTCACATTTTAACATGGAATCGTGAAAGATCTTATGAACAAAAGCAAATTTGTTTTCTTCTGTCGTTTTAAATCTACATGTATTACCAAAATAAATTATTCAATGTTTACAAGAGCAATACAATTCTTATCAATTAGTACAAAATTCATGTTCAGTGAGTAGAGATGTACGGGATCAGGATCACGAGAAAAAAGTTGTTTCGACTTGAACTAAAGATTATAATTCAACAGTTAATAATTTTAAATGAAATATCTTATAAAACATCGATCAAAACGTAGTTGAAGCGAGATGACTCAAAAATGTGTTAGTCGTCGACTAAATAAATGAACAAAATAGTATTGAAGAATTTTCTTAGATACGATACGATACGAATAGATTCTAGAATAGTTTTCTCTCAACTAGGACCGAGATCCATACAACTAAAAAGATCAAAAGCTTCACTATTAGAAAAGAAAAGCTGCCAGGATCAAGTCCAAAAAAAAAGATTTTGGCTTCGTACATCTCTGGTAAGAATACATGGTAGATCGTGAGACTTTTGCATGTCAATGATAGTCAGTAGTAGAAAGAGGTGCTCATCTTTCTGTTGGTCAAAGTGACTGTTCATTAGTAATCAAGTTTGATGAAAAGAAAATATCGAATGACGATATATTCATGCTTAATTTATCATCGATTTTGCAATGTCACTATTTAACCATACGGAACGCATTAAGCGAGAAACATTTCGGTAATATCTGTAAAAAGAATACAAGAGAAAGTAGTATGCATTTCAAAGTATCTGAAAAGTTTCCAAGAGTGTTTCGTATTCGATTGAATGATTGGTGTATTCCAGATATATACAATGGTTTGCAAAAAAAACTTGGAACAAATCTTTAGTTTGTATTAGGGGCTAGTTCAAGTGCTTTCAAAAATATATTTCTCCATTTAAAAGATATCAGTTTACAGTCTTAGAATATCTATTTCAAGATTTGATTCGTTCTTCTTTTGATTCTATAATCAAGAGATATCTGCTTTCTATGCTATTAATCAAATTAATTATTAATTTTTCAGTATTAATATTTAAGAAAACTTAAATGGCACTTGATTTTGCTCGTGTAAACAATCATTTCACATTGTTTATGTCAGTTTTCAACAAACTCTTTCAATATCACTCGATTATTTTGTCGAATAAAATAACCTTATTATCGGCTGTATCGGATATCAATAACACGTTTCCAACCATGGACTGGTCGATATTTTAGAAAGCTTCGAGTTCTGATCTTTTTAAATCAGTAACTAATTCTAGATAATAGTATCTTTACATACCGGTAGATTTTTCTGACATAGCGAATTCTCATGTTTTCATAATGTAATACAGAAGTATGATGTGATTTGAGACTGTATGTCTTTGCTATATCAGATTATTATTATACTATGATACAATAGAACTTGATCGAATATATGCAAATTTTTAAAGAATAATCTGCCCAGTATAAATCTAGAATTACTGCAAAACAAAGGCTCAAGAGGATCTAGAAAACATCAAAAGTTCATAATGTGAGACTGTCCCAAGTTTTTTTGCAAACCATTGTATGTGTACATATGAAGCACACTCGTCACTGAGACCAAACTTAGTTGCCCCTCTTTATTAAGGATATCGTTTATCGTATTAACATTTCTTTCATCTTATACAAATGTCATTTTATTACAAATAAAACCCAACAAATATTGGATTTATATTCATAATATAACTTTTCTAGAGTGTGTTCTGTTTAATTATTTGATCTTGCTCAAGTCCTATAAAAAAAACAAATTAACTGCGGGTGAAATCATCGATGTGATCTTATAGTTAGTCTGTTGCTTTCTTATCTTGAAATCGATTGTTTAAATGAAATAAATTAGTTTCACATTTCGATGATGATTTATTGTAATGTTTTATCACATGAGAACTTGGTTTCTATTGTTGAAATAACTTTTACATGAAATTTATTTTTTAAGTCAACTGTGAAAGGACTTGGAATCAGTTTTTCGATGAACAAGAAAAATTCCTAAAATAAAGTTTGTAATGCACATACTCCTACCCAATTTTAAATGCTGATTCCGAATATCATATTAGATTTGACCCAATTCGTAACTTTTCTAATTGAAGTATACTGAATGCCAATCAAAAAAGTACAAAAATATGCTCAAGAGTAGTGTGCATAGAATTTCTAAAGTGTTTAAAACTTTTTAAGTTTCATAAATAAAGGTTTACTATAAGTGACTTCTTTGGATGTTTATCAGGCGGCAAGTCTATGAGCATAACCGAACTTTTAGATAACATATCATTAGCCGTTAATCAAGTCACAAATAAATGGCATCAATAGTTTTTGTTCAATAGACATGGTCTTACAAGAATAGTTCCAGAGTTGAATACTTTATTTGATAAGATGAATCTGAGAGGAAAGCGCCAGCACTGTGGAAAGTAATCAGCAAGATATGTCGCAATTTCGATGGTCGTGTCGACAATGATGAACTAACAGTAGAGCCCTGCAGGATGCAGGTAACCTGCCCTGCCCTGCCCTGCCCTGACAGAGCAGGACAGGGCAGGGCAGGGCCAGGTTATGAAATTTTTACAGGGCAGGTTACAGGTTGTCCATATCGTAACCTGTTAACCTGAGATTAATTTTGAACAACCGACATTTCCGGTATCTTTTAAAAAA